CACTACTAAAAAAGAACACAGTAGGCCTCTCACTTCAGACCTCAAAACCTACCTCACAGTCATCATAGCCAAAATAACCTAGAAGTAACAGAAGAGATAACCCAGAAATAAACCCATCTACCTACAGGCAATATTTAGAAAAAAAATTTTAAGCCCAAACTCATTATATGGGGAAGAAATTCTCTGTTTAACAAAGAGTGCTGGCAAAATTGGATTTCCATTTGCAGAAGAATGAAACAGGACCCATATTTCACTCTATATACAAAAACAAACTGAAGATAATTAGAAATTTAAATGCAAACTTTAAAACTATACAGATCATCAGTGAAAAAATAGAGACAAATTTAGGTGCCTTAATACATGACATAATCACCGTATATTAAACATACCATATATACTCGAGTATAAGCTAACCCAAATATCAGCCGAAGCACCTAATTTTACCACACAAACTGCATTGAAAATGTGCTGAAAAACTTGGCTCATACAGTAGTATGTACGGTAATTAAAAATACACGCATAGTAGAAGACAAAATAAATGACTGGGACTCCCTAAAAATAAGGCACTTAGGTGCAACAGAAATTTTTACCAAAAGAGTACAAATAAAACCCACAGTCTTGGGGGAGGGGGCAAGGAAAATGGCAAAGACATATTGAACAAGGGATTAATATCTAAAATCTATAGAAAACTTCAACGAGAAAAAGACAGCCCAATTAAAAATGGGCAAAAATTATGAAGAGATACTTAACATTCAGGTTGCCAACAAACATATGAAGAAATGCTCTAGATCACAAGCTATCAAAACACTAGTGAGATACCACTTCACCCCAGTAATTACAGTAAAGGTCAAAAAAAGAAGAAAACAACAAAGGGTGTGGAGACACTGGAACACTCTTTCATTGCTGGTGGGACTGTATAACTGTACATCCACTATGGAAAGCCATATAGCACTTCCTCAAATAATTGGGAATAGGAATACCATATGACCAAAGAATCTCCCTACTTGGTATATACCCTACAAGACTAAGGAATATAGCACAAATAGTAGATGCAGACTTATGTTCATGACAGCACTATTCACAATAGCGAGAAGATGGAAATAACCTAAATGCCCATCAGTAAAAGAATGGATAAATAACCTTTGATACATACATACAACGGAATACTGAGCAATGTTAAAGAATGATGAAACTGAAGCACGTCACAACATGGATGCGTTTGGAGGGCACTATGTTGAATGAAGGTAGGTCAAATATTGCATGAGAACACTTATTTAAGGATTCAAGAAGGCTCAGATCCCGAGTGGGAAAAAAAATAGTGAGAAAGGTCTTATAGATGACCACCTACTTGACTCCCCTCTTTCTGCCAGAAAATAGCGGGTGGGGGGTTTCCTTTGGTCTCACATTGGAAAGCCACACTCTCTCCAGGAGCTGCTATCTGGTCCTGGGGCTGGGTCACCAGCTGCGGGGGAACTGGGCAGGAGAGGGGAAATAAAGGAATAAAGAGTCAGGGAAATTGAAGAAAAGGAAGAGAGAAGTACAAGCTTGGCTAAGTAGAAGTAGACAACCATCTCTTGCCTGTTTAGCTTTCTTCCTCCTCTAGAAAACTTGGTGACCCCCTCTATGACCCCACTTTGCCCCAACCCCCTGTTTTCCTCCCTGTCTACCCACCCTCCACATTTCCTCCTATCCACCCTGCTTCAGACTGTCCCTGATGGGGGCTCTCACCATGAACGCTGAGGGAGCCAGATGCTTCTGCACGGCCCACGCTGTTCTCTGCCACACAGGTGTAAGTCCCCTCGTCTTCAGCTCTCACTCGCCCAATCCAAAGGCTGTGGTCACTCCGTATCTCATACCTGCTCGACTCCCCACCCCCAGATTCAGTTGGTCACAACTATAGAATCCTTCTCCTTCCCTTGGGATAGACCCCAGTTTCCAAGCACTTAGAAAAAGAGGGAGGGACTCTGCAGACAGAAAATGGTATTCATAGACCCATAAATGGAGAGAAAGGGGGACTGGTTAGGACAGGGAGCACAGTTTCTATGTATCCTCATGTGAGAGGTTGTCTGTGTTCCAATTTCTAGGGCAGGGTAGGTTCTTGAGTTGATTGACTCTTCTACAGGCAGGAGGGTGTATTTCTCACCTGCCTGGGGGCAGTTCCCCATCCTCTTTGCGCCAGCGCAGATGAGGAGGAGGATCACCTTGCACTTCACATGGGAAATCCACAGGGGCATCAGCCAGGACCACCTGATTCACTGGTCTACGCAGGAATGATGGGCGCTCTATGGAGTGTGAGTGCACAGTCAGGGGGACTATGTAGGTACTTCAGAGGCTATCCACTCCCACAACTCTGCAAACTCCCCATGCCTACCCAGTACCACAAGTTCAGCTGCCCCACTCTCCCGTTCTCCTGCCATGTTGGAGGCCACACAAACATACATCCCTGCATCACTCTTGAGTGTATGTGACATCATCAGCTTCCCTCCTCGGATCTGCAGAGTAATCATGAAAACATTATTTGAATCTCACAGCAAACCAAAGAAGAAACAGTGTCAAGTTGATCAACTTATCAGATAAGAAATCTGCTTTAAGAAATACGGGGCTCTGTTTTTCCCACAGCACAAACTGCCTCCACCAATCATTGGGAATTATATGCGCCCCACCTATCTTATACCAATGCTACCCTACCCCTCATCCCTCACTCAATAGCTGACTCTTAGCTATTACTCCCAGCCACTCCAAGATCCTTAGATTCAGGCCTTGGGATATTTTCCCTCCCCTAGTCTTCAAAAAGAGCCTTGATGGCCTATTTGGCTGCTAATCACAAGGCCAGCAGTTTGAACCCACTATCTGCTATGTGGGAGACAGATGTAGCTTTCTGTTTCCATAAAGACTGAGAGCCTCAGAAACCCAAAGGAGCGATTAGTTAGCTCTACTTAGTGCTATAAGGTCACCATGAGTCACAGTTGACTTGGGATTGAGCCTGCAAAACCCCAAGGGATCTGTCCTTTGGGGTCTCTGTAAGTCAGAATCTACTTGACCTCACCGAGATCCTGCCCTCCTCCTCCTTGATTCTTGCATTGTTCTTCTTCCAGGACACAAATGGCTCAGGGTGGCCACGGGGAGGCACACATTCTATTACAGCTGGCTCCCCCATCGCCACCACCAAGTTCCCAGGAGACTGCCGGAAATCATCACGGAGGACTGGGAAGAGGGAGAGAGAATAGTGTAGGGGGTGAAAATGGTGTATTCTCTATGGGAATAAATGGTTAAGGGCTGGACTTCCTAGCCAAGGTTTGTGGTTTGAACCCACCTAGCTACTCCACAGGACAAAGACCTAGCAATCTGCTTTCTTAAAGATTACAACCAAGAAAACCTATGGAGTAGATTTACTCTGTTGTTTGGGGTTGTTATGAGTCGAGAGGAACTTAAGGACAACAGGGGTGCTATAATTGGATGCGGGTGGATTCCTACCTATCAGAACAGTCCAGAGACCTCCTCTTCAGATGATTGCGTGGGTACTAACTATCCTTGCCCAAGTTCTGCAGCAACCATCTGACTCTGGGATACTCACCTGCCACTTCGAGGGAGGCGTTTCTGCTAGCCGCTGCTCCTAGGTAGTTACGGGCCACGCAAGTGTAGACACCTTCGTCCAACCGCGCGCGGCGCCCGTGCACGATTCGGGGAAAGAAGAGCGCGCCACTGGGCAGGAGTAAGCGGTGTGCGCGTGGGTCGTCGTGCGCAGTAGCCACTCGTGCCCCATTCTTGTACCATTCGATGTTGGGCCGGGGTCGGCCCTCCGCACGACAGCGTAGTGTAGCAGGTTCGCCTCGGGAGACCAGCAGATCTGGTGGCTGCTCCACGATGCGCGGCATCGCGTCTTCTGTCCCCACCTTAGACCCTGGAAAGACCAGGGGTAGGGAGGGTACAGAACGTTCAGACTGGGAGACTGGAGGAGGGATCAAGGTGTCAGAAAGAAAGAGAATCTTCTGCTCCTAGCTCCCGTGCTTCATCTGCTAGAGCTCAGTTCCACATGCCCACTTTTGCCACCTTTCTCTGTGTGGGGGCTCCAGCATGCCTTTATTAGCAGACACACCATGTTCTTAGGCTGCAAGGAAGATGTCTATGGATAGGCAGATCAGTCCAGGAATCAGGACACAAAGTCTTCCAGTGGCTTTCTGGCAGCCTCCTCGCCATCTCTCTGGTCAAGCTTAAATGGAGAGGGAGTAGAACACAGCTTGGAGGGTAAACCAGGTGAGCCTCTGCTTGAGAAATAAAAGCTGTCCTCTTTCTTCCGGCAAAGGCGTCAACTCACACACACTGTGTGACCTGTGACCCTTTGGTAGTCAGCTCCTACTCGCTGGTTCAAGCTCTGTACTACACAGTAAACAACTATAAGCGGTGAGCTCCATCCAACACTAAGCTCTTTGCAAGCTCCCTGTCCAGAGGCGAGTGAAATGGAAAATATGGATGTGGACTGCCCAAAGGAGCACAGGATGTTATGGAAGAGAAGGCCTTGGATGTTCACTCAGGCAGCGACACCTGAGAACACTAGGATGTTCTGAAATGAAGGGGCTTTGGGTCTTGGGGAGAGGTAGC